TCAGCAAATCATGTGATTTGATAAACATTCACTGTGAATAATGCTAACCATCTACAATCTTGAATTTATGAACAGAATTCGGATACATATACAGCATTACTTCATAATTTTATTAAATGATAATTTCAACTCATAAGTAGGGCCAACCATAAGGCAAAATTAAAATAAATCATTGAGCAGTAGTCAATCACAGTGTAAACATTTTAAATTTCATATCAAAGTGGGCTGACCTAGCCATTCAGAATGACAATGTTGTTGCTTGGTCCAAGTTATTCAGTCGCCATATTATTAAACATGATGAACTGTAAAAATTTTAGATCGGAAGAGAAAGTAGGTGGAAATGAAATTAAAATAATATTAGCTGACCAATCTAGCATAGGAAACATACAGCACTTAAGGAATATTATTATCACGTAGATTGATATTTAAACACAAACATTGGTACTGAAGAGCACCTGAATAATTATGTGCCATAAAATTATCAAACTTGTTAGTGGGCTAAGATACTACCCTGGTGTCCAAACCGTAACAGGGATAAATTTGTTTTAGATTCGAATAATATTGTATCTACTATCGAAAAAGTATTATTTCTGTCTGCAAGAATAATCCTAACCCTTACTTAGATAGTACATAAACATTAATTCCTGTAGGATCTTTATCGAATAACTGCTAGATTAGCTGAATAAAATTAAATTTTCGCATATATCTTCATTACAATTTTGCTGTAACTCAGCACATCCATTTCGTGCGAAAATCTCTCTGGCTCTTAATCTTTTTAGAAGAACAACCAAGATTATTACATCTGAAGGAAATAGACAATAAGAACAGAAGGATATGTGATATCTTACAGTTTAGTAATTTGCCTGAGTGTAATGAGACAAAACAATTTACTTCTAAACAATATTTCGAATGAAACACTATTGATAGTTAACGTAGTTGTATTGTACCGCCATCACACATCAGAGTCTCAACTAACACAATTCGTGTAAGAGATAAGATCCCATTTACGCCAACACAGAATTGAGCCTACAAAGTAGGGTGCATCGAATTTGGAGCCTTTTGTGTTGGAGAGTCTTCCTGTGTAATCTTGACTCGAGCAAAATAACACATAACGTAAACAAAGAAACCACCTAACAAAACTTGTACAGTTTGAAAGACTCTAAAATAAGTCAGTTATAGTAGCACATGCCATCTTCAATAACCATCCGACTTTGACCATCTCTCCAAGCTACCGTGTTTGATTCTATTCACAACTCACATTGTTATTATGCGTACAAATTCAACTATGTCCTATCACACTACATGTACAACATTTTTCACAACCAAATACAAAGGCATATTTTCATATGAATCACATTCATTGGAGTGACAACATTGACTTGGCCAAACCTGTTTTTCTATTGACTGACTGATTGTAATAAACAAGTATGTTTACTTCGTTTCGCTGTACTATTTCAAATTAGGTTAATTTAGTTAGTTTATTTATCCTTTGAAGAACTGGCTTACACTGAGTTACGAAACGTCAGAAAATGTTTAACTTTTCCATTCATCGGGATACTACGAATATATTAATATTTTTTGACATTTTAACATTAGTCAGTAAACTAAATGTTTACAAGAGTTAACTAGGATTTTAGAGAATTCAAGTGTCTCACGGAAGGTTATCTTTATCATGTCATTTTACTTTTTTGATAGCAAATATGCTAGATAATATAGCATTTGGGTTATGACAAGTTAGCCGTAATTTAATTCGAAGCACTTTTGTTTAATAATTCACTAAGAATGTTCGTTATATATTAATAAGGCAGCAACCGCACAGATTAGTCTTAAATCGATTCAGTTATTTATGTAGATCGTAAAATACACTTAGCGGATACAATGTGATATACATTCAAAACCCGGTGAACGTATAAACCATTTTGTCTGGGATATTTAGTGGTCATGAAAACTAAGTCACTCATACTCTAAATGTTTTTAAAGTGCTAAATAATTACGGACATATTGATGAAAGGATGGATACGCGTTTTCTATCACTGTAAGGTACATTTGGAAACTAAAATACAAATAAGCTTGAATCAGTACTGTTTACCTGTTGACTTTCTTAGTGCACATCAGCCGGAAAAATATACCTAAAGTTAATTTGATCCGCGATTGCGAAGAAAGTATGTTACTATTTCATCCAGTCTATACTCACAGTATTTTCCCAGAGAAATCATGACTTGTGAGTTAATCGCAACTCCCTTCATTTTTTTCACTCACATAAAGATTAATTTTCCAGAAGATTAACCTGCTTTAAACTGAACAAGTTCTGTGAGTAAGACTGTTCCAATATGAAGAGTAAACAAAATGCACCACATTAAATTCAGTAGTGCACGAAACAAGTAGCGGTCTGATGAAATTGAACTCTGATTTGATTAGCTTCCACATCCATGAGATTGTGATAAGACAAAGAATTGCATTCGTGGTTGTGGTGTGCATTCTCATGAATTACATCACAGTAATCATCTCTCTCCTTAGAATATATAGATGCTTGCTAAGTGTATTTCGATGAAGCTCTGAAGAAAACCAGACTAAAACATTATTATACATAACTCTTTCTTTGTGGACGATGGGAATTTTTCCAGGCAGATTCCCGACCATTTCTACAGTATACAAGCTTTACGTATAGTTTCTGATACCGATGGAAGTGGGATTCACGAATAGAGAAATGACAAAGCGTCACCCGTTAGAATTATCTTACTGAATTCTTCAGCACTTCCAAAGGTAGGAACGCTATTAGAAAACGTGCCTACAAATAAACCACCCGTGATAGTGATCACTTTAGAAATTGAGAATGCAGTGGTAATAGCTTAATTACTTGAGCTCCTTGTTAACAGAATATTTTTTATGATATGAATTATTGGGATTTATATTGACCACTGAAGCCACACTTACTCGTAAGACCACTCTTAGCACCATCAATATAATTGGACGACAGGTTTGAGAAGTGCAAGGTGTGAAAAAGTTTTCATTAGTGGGCAAGTGCGTGCGAATGTCTTAAGCACAGTTGGCTTAATGTCATTAATCTAGAAGCTTGGCACTCAGGTCAACCTCAATCAACGCACACATTGAAATTGATCCAATCTATCAACCAATCAGAAAAATCAAAGAGAAACATCGAATCAAGAATAAGATCAAAGGGGGATACAATCAAAATAAGAAGGCAGACAAGGACTAGTTAAAGGGAAATAGTAACCAATCAAGATGGAGGTCAACAGGACAAGCTACGAGTCATACGCAGAGAAATTTTAATGCTTCACTCCTACTTGAAGTTTGTTCTAATAGTATAGTTCAGAAGAACAATGAAAGCTCCACAACCAAACCATCCGGCTCAGAGAACGAGGCTCTACCATAATCTGTCTCCTCTAAATATAATAAATTATATCTGTTCTTGACTTCTTATTCATCACACTAATACTCATGTTTGACATAATTCCATGGTCATACGTCAGCTACAATAAAGAGTTTCTGCACAGAATGTAGATCTGTGTGGTACGACTACTATAAAACAATCCCTTTAAAGGTACTTTTACCCAAGATATTATAACTTTGTATTCTGTCTACCCCAGCTATATTAAAACACGAATCCTACAAAGAAAATTTATTTGGTAAGATCTCAGAAGGTTTATTTCTATAAAATTTAATTCACTTATGCACTGATTAAAGTTAATAGTTATCAATTGCCGGGTTTGATGAAACTGGGCAATCGTCAGTGGAAAGTAAAACTATCATGAGTAAATTAGTACCGTGTAGATAAACTGGAAATTTAATAACATCGTAGTGAACAAATAATACATATCAATGTACTGAAACGTAATTAGAGAAATCCGCATACGATTAGTTAATACTGAAAATTATTGAACTAAAATCACCTTACTCTAATAAGTGAATTTTAGAAAGAACTTTCTCCAAACTTGGAGTGTTCACCGGAACACCAATTTGTTGTTTTAAGTAAGTTATGAGCTTAGTATTTATGTGCGGCTGTTGAAGGCCTGTTCATATTTAGGCGACCGGAAATCCTGTTTATTCAACTTAAAGAGTTGATCCATTAGAGGAGGAATTCGTCGTAACTTCTAGTAAGAAGTTTGATACACTGACCTGGTACTTTAAGGGATCCTCGCAGTGAGCATTTGTGTATTTGTTGTGGTGTTTCGTCCTCTCAGCTGGATGTTTCGGTTGTGGAGTTTATGCTGATGATGTTGTTCAGAAGAACGACGAAATCTCTATCAACCGAAACATCCAGCTCAGAGGAAAAAACAACTCATCAATCGTACACCTGAGCTATAAATTTTCTCCACCATCTCAAGAAAATTTATATATTTATTAATCTAAATGAGATCAAGTGGGTTTAAATGTCATATCCAAATAGTACCAAGTAAAGAACTCAGTGTTGAGATCCAAATGATGAAGTTGTGACTGTCTTCAGTAATAATTTGTGACACCTTGTGGTTTAATAACAATTATCTTATCAAAATAACTTTCATGTTGTTCTATTGTTTCAGAAACAAGTTTACCATTGAAAATTCAACAGATCACTAGTTTTGTGGTGCGCGCTACTTATAAGTAGTATATGACGTGGGTAAAAACGTAATGTCTGGCAGCAGAAGATGGGGGAAGATCAAGAAAGGAAGAGCGGGAACACAATGGGATTTATTTGTATGAAACGCATGAACAGTGAAATGTTAGACAATGGATTGATGTTTGCAACAGGAACAGTCCAGTTCAATATGATGGATTGATATTTTGCAAATTAACGATGTACGATATGGTTTTCCTATTTTACCACTTAACTCTGTAATTTGAAATGAATATAATGCGGTTTCCCTCACCTGTGTTCTCCTTCACTACAGTTTTACTATAGATGGAACCAAGGCCCAATTTAGAAATGTAAGTAAACAAAAATTTAAAAATATCAAGATAATTTATCTTACAAAAACGAGATATCAACAACTAACAACTAATTTAATCATTATAGCACTCAGTAACTTTTTAAAATAACACAGTTCATTTTGTATACAGGCATTGTTTGGAAAATTTTTTCTGACGAATTTGCTTAATTTTAGCATTGATTTGTTTATAGTCTTCTTCACATACATCATTTAATTTTTTCCGAGTAATATCATTCGAATTTGAGCATTGCATTTGAACAGTTTTGTTATCGTTAGACTCTTCAAACAAATTAAACGATAGATGTTTATGTAACCAGTCAATTGGATTTTCAAACGTTTGTTGATTATCTTTACTGGGATAAGGGATTTTTGTAGTCGAAACATCACTAGCTCGTTGACATGTAGCACATTTGTTTTGGCGAATTATTTTTTGTAAATTTTTCACTAAACACAATTTACATTCCTCCGAATTGGCAACTTTCACCAAATCAATATATTTCGGCATGAGACGATGAATTAATGGACCGATTTGTTCATTAACTTGCCCGATAAATCGATTATATACAATTGTTTGATACCATATTGGATAGTTAGACCATTTCCCGTTGGTTCTTTGACATAATGCCCAATCGTTCAAATTTAAATAAATAAAAATTAATAAATCATTCCATGAATGCTGAGTACGATTTAATTGATAGTGAACTAATGCTCGTGTCATGTAAAATTCCGATTGAAATGGTGTTAAACGAATACAATAATCTAAATAGTTCAATGCATCTGACCAATCGCTTTGTTGAATTCGATTTTTACTTAACTGATAACAAGTTAAACAGATTCTTTGATTGATCGATTGAATACTTGCAGGAATTTTCATTAGATTATTATTACAAATACAATGATTGGAATCAGTGAATAATTTACCAATGATTAATTTTGCATTTTCATAATCTTCCAGTGATTTCTCATAATTATTCATAAAATATTGACAATCTCCAGATAAAATTAATAATTTGTAATTTTTAGGATCGACTTTCAAAAGTTGACAGGTTAATTCACTTGACTCTTGATATTTCTCTTGTTTTAATAGCTTTACAGCATAGGAGTTCATGGTAAGAAATAATTGATTTCTGCCGAATTGATATAATTCAGCTGAGTCTTTTTCACCGCTCTTATTCATCAATGTATTGAATAAATTGATTCCTTGCATAATACAATCTATGGATTCAGTTAATCGATCGAGTTTTCGTAAAATTGCTCCTTTATCAAAATATAATGAAATATTTTCTGGTTGTGCATAAATTGCCATACTGATTGAATGTAATGAATCGAGAAAACGATTTTTTAACATTAATTCAATTGCTTCTTCTTGTTTCTTAGAAGATATCATTTCAAGTCGATGTAGTAAATGAGAACTTTCTAAATGATTGGAACAATAATATAATGCTTTCTTTAAATCATAATAAGCTTGCGTTATTGATTGACCATATTGTTTCGATAATAGAGAAGCTCTTGCATAAAATAGATCGGATAATTCTTTCAAGAGAAAATTTTTTTTGAATTATATTTATTAATAGTATACAAATTCAATAATTAATTACTTATGTGAAATGTATCATTTAAAGTCACAAGAAGAAAAGAAGAAAACATTATACACAGAATTATTAATTTGGGAATAATTGCAATTAACAAGTAGATTCGACCAATCATATGATGGATAGTTAACAAACTTCATTATTAACTTCACTTACCTTATAAAATAAAAGGTGGATTTTGTATTTGTTGATTATATAACTTGAATATGCATAAAATTAATACTTTCCAGAGTTTCTATAAAGGAATTTAAGAATTTATACTTCTTTATTCTTAAACAGACATAACTAAGTAAACAGGGAATGAATATAGATATTCATACATAAATATTTTATTTTAAACTGTAGTATTAAATGAGACAATGACAGATTTGGAATAAGTCTAGAATGACAAAGTGCTTCAGATCAACACGGAGATAAGCAAATTAATATGTCCCAGCTTGATCTATTTCACATCAGTATACATCAGTTGACTAGTAAGAAACAACGGAAAACTGGGAAAATTCTGAATGGCCTACGTTGCCACAATTCATATCATAACAGAACATGACAATTAGCGAGAAAAAAACCAGAGAAATCAAAATTCGTATATTAGTGATATTAAAAAACCGAAGACTGAATGTTTCAAGGATTTTAAGGATTTTCAACACAAAACTGATACTACTCTATACTGTTTGGAAATAAGTACTCTATATGAATCGATGCTATTGTTTAATTTATCAACTTGTTCTCAAATTACTACTGTCTTATCCAGTAGGACGTGTCGAGATAGACTGTAATACGTATTGCCTGAGTATGCAAAATATTTTCAAATTTCACATCTATACATCTAAAACTTTTACATTTATAGCATCAGTTATTACATATCACTACTCATGTGTATGCGACAAAGGTAAAAATGAATTTAGTAAGCAGAACAGTAAAAGTTAGTCACTATGACAGTGTACCATCATGTTTAAAATCCTCTACCAGAAGTATAAATAATAATCCTAATAAAATGTCACGTGCAAGATGTTATTTCGAAGTTAAAACACTCACTTACGCGGTATATATAATCTTGATGTTAAAATGGCATTTTCCATTAGTATCTGTTCTGGAATTTCTATATTTTCTTTCTCTAAATCATTGATACATTTTGTTATCAAATCGATATAATCATTATTCCGTTTCATTGATTCATAAACTTTTAACACATCCATCAATGTTATCAATATTCCTGGTGTAATAGATGATTTAATAATTGAGTTTTTCATTTGAGCATATTGATCAATGAAGTTCTTGCCTAATTCACACTGTTTCAAGGCTTCTTCCAATTTTCCTTCATTATTTAAAGTTTTTCCATAAATTACATGAAGTTGACCAGTCATTAATAAAGCATTTTCATATTCTGTACAATTTAAACTTACAGATATGAAAGATGGTGACTCTGACTCAGTATTTTTTAAATCTTCATTGATTGATTTACTGTCTAGTGACTTTGATCCTAAAGATAAGGCCAAGTGTAAGTCGTTTATTGCATGTTGATAATCGAATAGCTTATTAAATAATTGGGAAAAATAAGAGAATAAAATAGAATAGAGAAGGATAGTTGTTGAGCTATTCTGTAATAAGACATGTGACAGTAAACCTACCAAGACAGCTGATAACTATAACTGTTTATAATTCTAGTAAAAAAGATTGTAGAAACCCCATACAGATGACTTTAAACTGATTGAAAGCATAATCGATGCATTTGACTACACCGGAAAAAACCCTGCCCACTGTATTCAAACATTTCTGGCGAGATAAATTAAATATTTTTACTTTCAGACTTTAGAATCAATAACCAGGAATCGAGATTTGAATGCACTGTGGTAAAAAGTTAATACATTTAAAAGGAATGATAAAAGTGCAAAAATAGTTTAGTGTGAAAGTAACTAAAAAGATACTAAACTCCCATACGCGTGAACTATTAACTTAATTGAAATGTTATGATATGTGATCAGATAAAATTCGACTATATCTAAATTACGCAGTATAATGTACACGTATTTTAAACTATGGCTTGAAGTAGCAATCTGTTAGCCTGCATAAAGTTTACTCAAAGACTCATAAACTGTTAACTTCTTTTATAATTCATTTTTCAACATGAGTCGTTCACTGTCTGTTGACTTAGAAGATCTGTAATAGCCACCTAGAAATTGCTTGGATTTACATTTAAATTGTACGGTAAAGTAACGACTAATAATGCAGTGCAAGTTGTGCGTTTCGGTAGGATCGTATCCAACATGAATTTAAAGTTCAACTTTTACCTTCTATCAAGTATGCAGAAAAGTTGAAACAGCAAGCAGTCATTCCAATCAAGATATGATAGAACAATCTATTTACGATATAACTGTAATGTATATGATGATAAAATTCAGCTTACCTTGACATAAATTTCAGCGCGTTCGATATAAAACTTAGCATTTTGTGGTGCCATTTTAATACACTGATCAATATGATGAATAGCTTTTGTCATATCTTTATTTTTTATAGCCATTTCTACACATTTATGATGTTTTCTAATAGTTGTAGAGAAATATTGTGCAGTTGTTAATTTGAAGGGAGATATTTGGTTTATCGATTCATTACGAACTGCAGTTGAATTATTACTATTACTATTGGAAAATGAATACAAATCTGCACTAACAGACTTTAATTTGTCACTTCTCAACCCTAAGTTATAATTAAAATTTGGTTAGATAATAGAGAAATATAATTACCTTCAATTGCAATATTATGCCCTAACTGTTCGTTCGCTGGAAATCGTGGACGATTTTCTACATCAATACAGACAACTTTATTTTCAGGTGTCCAATTTGTTTTATCCATTGTAATATAAATCCTATCCTAAAATAAAATTATCATTTAAAACAACCTTGATAAGCACTTCAAAATATTTGAGAAACCCGATATTTTTATGTATTTATTAACTTAAGGGGGAGCTTATTTCAAAACAATGTAACAGAGAGGTATAGTTAGTTTGAACCACATGTATTTGCGATTTGATATTTTATGAATAATATACATTGGCAATTACTTATATACCTGAAAACTGAACCTATCTTTAAAATTCTATTTGCTATGAACCGCGAATTATGATGCGCATGATTTTGAGTGTCATTAATGAGCTTTCCCATCACTTTTATGTTTAATATTAGCTTTACGTGTGCCAAATCATTACAATGAGGACCATTACGAAAAGAATTCATCTGGCAATCATCTCTTTAGTCCTACGCCATTTGATTTCAAACAAAAAAGGGACACATGCTTACTTCTGTCTTTTGCTTATACGCAGGTTTAATATACTGACTTGGATTTTAAAATCAGTGAAATGCAGAGGCTTAATCTGAATTTTAAATAAATTTTATAATGGTTAGGCAGATCGTTCAGCGATTCAAAGTTTAATGCGACTCACTAACAAAATGTTTAAACACCTTTGTTTCAGGTATCAGAATAAATATTTGCATATAAGTATATTCTGACTAACATAGTATCTCTTCAGTGTTTTCATATTAATAATTGTGCGCAAAAATCCTAAATTAAGGCAAGTCTTTGACTATACTATACGTGAGTATGCTGTATTGTAAATAGATAGCTCGTTCCAAATTAATATGACATAGAAGTATAGTACATCTGTACATATGGTTTATACAAAACTTTGACACCGTAAACCCAGTGCTTTAGATTATCCTAACATTCATCGTTATAGATCCAAATAAATGAGTTCTAATCATAAATCATACCGCTGCCAGCCCAAATTGCACATGTGACCGATTTGCTCATGAGCGAATTCTCCCTTCACTTTTCAACTACTCCTATCTCCACTACTAAGCCTTCTTCTATAAATTTACTACCGGATGCCACTAATGCTAACGATTCGCGTACAAGAAATTTTATTCCTTGTCTCATCAAATCTCAATCTGAACTACATATTAGAGGTTAAAATGTTCGAACCTTGTTCTAAGACGGAAGACAGGCTTCCTTAACTAGGATTTTAAAATATCGCACCACTAGTGCGTGCTGCGTATTCCAAACGCGCATACACGATCCGAGCATAGTAATTCATCTGACCTTACCTTTACAAAATGAAGAACCGCTACAATTTACCAGTTCTGTATCTGGAGACCAGACTGCTGCTTCCCATGGCCTCCCAAGTGTACGTAAAGCATTATTTTCTAGAGAAGAACTAGCAATTCTAAATTGGATTCCAGAAGACAGTTGCTTGTTCGACTAAACAGGATAGTAAGAATTCAGAGAGACAAGGACATTTGTGGGTCCCTTAGTGGCTAGTGATTTTAATGGACTTGTAGGCAGCTTAAGAGAAACTAAAGACGCCTTGATGGATCTTATGGTGTTCTGGCTCACTGAGTAGATAAAGACGGCCACTTGCTACAGTTATGCTCATTATGGTCTATTTCTGGCGAATAACAACTTTAAACAACATCTTTACACATGGTGATCCTCAAAATCGACTCAAATGGACCAGTTCAAAATATTGATTCATGATTAGCTTGAATTGACACCTGAACTAGTAATAGGTAGTGAGGTATTTGAGCGTGTTGACCACTTCACTTATCATGGGAGTCTCATTAGTGTTGATGGCCCTGTATGCGGGTAAGACTTTCCACGAATACACAAGGCCAGACAGGCTTTTGCCAACGTGCGTCACTTACGGTGTAGGCAAGGTATCTGCCCGCTGACCAAAGGAGAAATGTACTGCTCATTAGTTAGTTCCGTCCTACTTTACAGGTGTGAAAAATAGAAACTAAGAAGCAGGAAAATCCGATCATAGGTGTTTTTGACGCAGTGCATGTATATCCTAGGACCATCTAGTAGGCAACGCTGGTGTTAGGAACAGAGCACTAGGTAAACATGCCAAATCAGTTGATAAAGTGGTGAATATCCATTAATTGAACGATATTGTCTGATGTACGGCTAAACTGGAGGGAAAATAGGGGCGGCCAAATCAAAACGTCGCACAAATCTATAAAGACATTGCATACTGCACAGAGCTAAGTTAATAGGAGTAGATTACTTTGTTGGGATATGTTTAACAACTATTCACCGGTGGATAGAAATTTTCAGTAACATGGCCCAGTGTCGCAGGTACATCCATTATTTTTCTCCTCTCAAGTTGTAAATTTCTGATTTCATATTGACCTTTTTTCTCTTTTTAAGTTTACTTCAACGGAATGTTTTTCTCAAACCATTTTTTTGATCCCTAATCTTTTTTGAACACCGCTAATACTGCCACTACCTTCACCAGTACGAGATTCAAACTGACAATTTCATTTCCCTGTGCTTTGCGGTATGTCAACTTGAACCGATGTATGAACGTACCAAGTTCTACATCGCTGTTGAGCGACTGCTACCCGAGCCTTCGCAAGTACAAAAGATATGAGAATATTGAAGACCACTGTCGCCTACAATCAATATGGGACTTTTAAGGTTCAATAATACAAAGTTTTCGAACTAACCAGACATACGCAATAAAAACTAGTAAGAAATATTGCATCAAAATAATAAAGGTAAGTGAAACGTAATCGAACAATAATTAAAAATAGTTACTAATGAAACTTCAGTCGGTCTATTTTCTCTCAGACCCACATTCCAAATCCCAGTAAGTGAAAGGAAATGGGAGGGAACAGCATTCTACACCAGAACCTGTGGTCACACAGAAACGGCTGACACACTCCAAATAACTAGTTATCAAAATCTCTGAAAACAAGCACTTCCTCGGACGAACCTGAGACGAACCGTCAAATGCCTTTTTGGCTACGTACGGGAAATGAAAGCTAATTAGGAGAGATCAGAAACGTATGCTTTTAGTTAGATCTAGAGATCATAATACTGGTTGGAACATAGCGCTTCATGACATCACCGATAACGAAGTGACCATGAGAGGAATGACGCTTTTCCAATGCAAAATAGGGAAAGCCCGCCCTTCCCCATCAAGAGCTGTCCTGACTTAGATCACTGTCTGAGCCGAAGTAACGATGCTTAGTTCTATCTCGCCTATAATCACCCCCCTTTTCAGTTTTGTCCTTACACTTCGGTCTTCTCACACTGACTGCACTTACCGATCAATTAACCTATTTGTTTGCTTATCTAGTTCTTGGAACAGTCGTTTTTCTCCAGTGTTAGAATTTTTTATTATTATTCTACTTTTAGCGATTAGACGGCCGCCTATCTGATTGTATGATATATGCTGGTGTCTAGAAACACTACAGCACTCACTGTGGCTGCTAGGCACAAAGCCATTATCAACCATCAAATTCCTAAAACTTATTTCGTTCGCGTAATTTGAATGCCATCAATTAAAAATCATCAAATACTTGGAACCGCACTAACGTGGGAAGAAGTAGTTGCAAAAATCTCGATCGCTTAAAACCTATCAGTGGCAAATATTTTGGGCCACCAATCGGAAGCAGAGATTTGCATACTGACTATAACAATTAAAAGCTAGTAGGATGAAATCAAACATCCAGATAGTCTGTATATTAGGAGTGATAAAACGATCGTGAGAGAGTCAATATGATGATAGAATAAATATAGCAAAATCTAAAAATCTGCATTCGCTTGGGTTTTTGCCCCGAAAATACTTAAAATTTTAGGTAGGTTAAATTTCATGCCTACTAACGACGACTTGACAGGCACATAGAATGCATATACTTGGAATGTTAATTGAAGTTAACAACAATGAACAATGAGATTTCAGTAATATTGAGACATTCTGATAGCTAGACGTAGATTTCAGTGAACAAACACATCTAATTCGTTACGCGTTATATTATCCAGGGTTTGAAATCCCGCACATAAGTTCCTATGGCTTTTAATATCCAATATACAATACATTTTTAACGAGCTAGTGTAGGCCAACTGATTTCTTTGCGCTGAATTCTCATTTTTTCGGCACGGTTTCAGGTGTCGGTATTGTCCAACGAATAAGGGTCTAGCCACTCAACTGTCTAGTTCTAGTCAGTTGGCAGTTGGTTGTGAGTTTGTATGTCTCGAGATTTGAATGAAAACGTTTGTTTCAGAACAATAGATTTTCTGGAAACTAACAGCTATCACATTACCAGAACGGAGGTCAGTCAGTTGCAATTTTTAGAATAATAGGGAAAGAATTATACTGCGAATAAGAAGGGGATTTCAGAACTAATTAAATAATTAGATAATTTAGTTTGTTAATTAGTAGTGAAGATTGTAGAAGAAAAGCGAAGAGTTAGTAAGGGAGAAGAAACAGAGATAATAGGCGAGATAGATTAATTGAATGGTCTGAGCAGATGGCGATGATAACAACTAGCATGTCTCAAGACATGCATCAGGCACAGCTTGTCCACGTAGGAGAAGATAATCCGTATGTGAGTACATGCTTATCAAGTCTCCTCTTAAAGCTGTCCACTGATGTGGCTGTAGTCATCTCCACTAGGAGAACATTCCAAGTTGCAGCAACTCTTGATCATAAAAAATGTGTACGGACCTGAATATTCTCCCTTTGATGCGCAACCTTTCGAGGTTTGCCTGGGGGAGTGGTGATAATGCATCAGTAAGATGCTCACGTGCTTAATGTGTTGTAAGCCATAATCAGATCACCTATGATTCTTTTTTAACTCAGGGGTATTATTCCAAAGTGCTGGAGTCTATCTTCGTAAGGTTTGTTCTTCAACTCTATCACCCGTTTCGTTGATTGTCTCTGCACTCGATCTAGGAGATTTATGTCCTTTTTAGGCAGAGGTGGTGCGACGATGATGTGAACCTCCGTGTGTGGGCGCGCGTTTGTCTTAAATAATGTTAAGAATGATTGTGGGATGATGGCACCAATTTGCCTTTGCATAACGTTAAGAGACTCATTTGCGTTGGCTGCGTCCCCTATATAGTTTGGGCCTGTGTGGAGGCTTTCTGTGGTTGTTAAACCGAGTTCACGTTTTGAGGAGGCATCAGGGAGCGGACTTACATTGAGGGTGTAAATCGTTAGCATCATGTGGAGCACAAAGTACATGATGTGGTACTTCGGCTGGTTTAGTTTTAAACCGTTTTTTACTGTCCATCCCTCAATGGATGTAAGGTCCTTTTGAAGCTCAGTCCAAAGCGCCGAACCGTAATAATAGATACATGTTTATACAACCACATTTAAATAGTAATACCATGTTGATACAGTGAGCAGATTACATTCTTATGCATTGAATTCGAGTGATTGCATGAGATTTAACATTATATCACAGTATATGATACCGAGCGATTCTGATCCTTTTCAATATGGTGGTTGGTAAACATATATGAAGGAGGAATTCAAGACGTAATAATTGTCCGTATACGGATATAGACGAAGGTGCGATTACGTGACTGGATTTCGTCAGAATGATAAAAATGCTCCTTAGAATCTTAGGCTTTTCAATTTCAATAAAGATAATCTATAGTAATTCTTTAGGCAGTTGTTCACCTTGTTTATCTTAAGGCACTAAAAATTTCCTTTTTTATGCTGGCGATTTCTAACTAAAAGCGTTTGAAAAAAGAAAATTTCAATTTGTGATACAGTTACTTTGTTCAGATCATCAGGGTTAATTAATTTGCGAGACTTAACCGACCCGATTAATAACTGATTGTGATAGAATTTAAACATAATGTTAACTAACATAATTCATATGAACAACCATATAATGCAAAAAATTATGAAGTGACTTACGAGTATAATTGATAGCATAGATTCGAACATTCAATATATATTTCACAAGCTAGTATAAAGCAATCAAATTATTTGCGCTTGATCCTTGTTATTTCGGTTAGGTGTCGTAGATTGTGAGTATCGAAGAGAAATATGCAGTAAGATCATTATCATGAAAAGTGAGAATATAGAAACTCGAACGAAATAATTTTTATGAATTTGATGGTTGATAATGGCTTTGTGTCTAGCAGCCACAGTGAGTGCTGTAGTGATTCTAGACACCAGCATATATCATACAATCAGATAGGCGGCCATCTAATCACTAAAAGTAGAATAATAATAAAAAAATTCTAACACTGGAGAAAAACGACTGTTCCAAGAACTAGATAAGCAAACAAATAGGTTAATTGATCGGTAATGCAGTCAGTGTGAGAAGACCGAAGTGTAAGGACAAAACTGAAAAGGGGGGTGATTATAGGCGAGATAGAACTAAGCATCGTTACTTCGGCTCAGAGAGTGTGATCTAAGTCAGGACAGCTCTTGATGGGGAAGGGCGGGCTTTCCCTATTTTGCATTGGAAAAGCGTCATTCCTCTTATGGTCACTAGGTTATCGGTGATGTCATGAAGCGCTATGTTCCAACCAGCATTATGATCTCTAGATCCAACTAAAAGCATACGTTTCTGATCTCTCCTAATTAGCTTTCATTTCCCGTACGTAGCCAAAAAGGCATTTGACGGTTCGTCTCAGGTTCGTCCGAGGAAGTGTTTGTTTTCAGAGATTTCGATAACCAGTTATTTGGAGTGTGTCAGCCGTTTCTGTGTGACCACAGGTTCTGGTGTAGAATGCTGTTCCCTCCCATTTCCTTCCACTTACTGGGACTTCGAATGTTGGTCAGAGCTTGTTTCTAGTTTCTTTTTTATATATTGAAATGATATACCCCAAAAGATAATTTCAGTTTTCGCATATTACGACAAACTTCACTACTGACTTTTTTTCACCTTCCTCTTTCTTCATAGTGGTAGTTGCGACGAATCATTTGTTTCTCAACTTTGGATTCCTTTCCTTGTCTGTAATAATATCTCCGCTTCTCTCTCGTGACTGGACCAATATTCGTAGCTTTACACGCTGCTGGAGAGGATGGCTGATATTTGGGATAGGTGGACCTCTCACACCGTGGTACTACCTTGACACTATTTGACTCGAGATTTTTGTGATCCACCGGAAACTGCATTAGAAGTCCTCATGCCTTGATTTTTTTACGTACTTCGATCTGGTATTTAATTTCAGTTTATTTTACGAAGGAGAAATTCTTATACATTATAAATAGAGGTGCTTGGTTTTATACTCTGTGCTCGACTGAATAAACCATCATATATGTCATATAATAAGAAGCTTCCATTTGATTATCCAAGGAATCGTATTTCGCAACTACGGAGCGTTTACTAGCAAAAGTCAATGTTATCGGGATGGGCATTCGTAATATTTAGAATAAATTGGACAATTGACCTTTCCGTTTTCAAATTTGCTCGGCTATTTTGAATGATGATCTGCATGAACTATTGTGTCATGTATAACCAAATAACCTCAAGAAACAAAAATATGTTATTTGAAGATAGTCATTGGAAAAAGACTTTTTTCGACATTCAGAAGTCTCATTATTGCCGGGGCTTTTAGCAAATATGGTGAATTCACCTAATTTGATCATATTATAACCAAACTGAAAAGTGTTGCAATCATTTTTTAGGTTTAATAATGAATAAACGATTAGGGCAAAGTGTCTGCGTAGAAGATAGCCTTTATTATAAAAATATATTGAAAGTCGATATGTTAACTGGGTGACGTTGCACACATTTTTTCATCTTAAGCACAAGAACTGAAGCTGGAGTTAAAGTAGAATGGTCTGAAAATTTTGTTTAATAGAACAACACTGTTTTACAAGCGTTCACAGAACTAGCCTTTCAGCAGTTGAATGTTTCTAATTAACTGACCAGGTTAGTAAAAATGTAACATAATTGTAAGACTATTAGTTTCGAAGGAGAGTTTACCATTTCAGACCAGTGCATAGTTCGGCTGATGAGGAAATGTTGATAAATTGCGAAGCTAGAATTATATTGAATCACCTTAAATCACTAACTGAATACTTACTGTTGTTTTGTTTATCCACACTACAAAGTCATCTAAAATGTCCTTGTCTTCAAGCAACACAATGAATTTCTAGCTAAATGTTACTTGATAATGTTAACTAGCAGATATAAAGAGTGAGTCATTTCATACCATGAATTTAGTACTCAAGGCATGCAGGCAAAAATATGAAATGGAATGTTAACGAAGCGTTAATTTTTTTGCAGCACATGTTTATTTGAATTAGTTACTGAATTCAAACAATCGTGGGTTGTAAACAAAGGGATGCTTCATTACCATAGAATAGGAATTTTTATCCTACTTCAGACTAATATGACAGGCCTGAGGTGAAACACGGATTCAGCCTGCATACTAAGGCGGGAAAACACTATATTATTTTTTTACTATTGAATCCAAATAGATTAGGAAGGTTTCTTTTTGAAATTTTAGTGTCAGTCACTACTAGCAACCAAAAACGAAGAAATACAGTTGAACTTAGGGGAGTAAGAAGACATACGTGTTATGTACTCATATTCTGACCTACTGTGAGGAAATATTGCGATATTCGCTTTCTTTGTCGTTTTGTGTTTTCAACTGTCACCGAATCTACCATTTTTTCCCCTTAATGCATTTCGAATTTTCCAGTGAATCTATCTCGGAATGGAGTGCACCCTATTAGTTCTCTGAATTACTGGATGTAGTAAATTTACGTTTTCGACCTATATAGTTCCCGAAATACCGTGAAGCTTTCGGGTTATTTTTTTGTATAAATTTTGTCCTCTTTCAAAAATTTGTAGTTCTCTAGTTACTTAATGCACCCTTCTGAGATATCTGACTTCCCGCCGATAACAAACTCCCATGGATATTAAAAAGCTCTGCATATACATCGGTGTCTATCAAAAGGTTCAAAAACCTAAAGCTTCCATTTCCGATAACTCGTACGCTTGTAGTACTCGTACCATTACAGAGTTGGGTAATACTTGATTCTACTTGTAAAGCTGAAAAAATGACGAGACCATGTTTAACCGAATAGATTAGAGTTACTTATTTCCACTGTATCTCTGGCAGTGTCTACGGTCGTCCGTAGTAATAACTTGACGTCAATCGACTAATGTTATTCTTCATAACTAATAGTACTTTGAATATTCAAAGTTGGTTTGAATGTCTGAACAGCAGGTACTGATATTACGTATCTTGGCAGAGAGTTCCAGTAATTCACCACCTTATGCATAAAACAGAACTGCAGACCCAAGTGGCTTGGTCTCAGTTTTTGAGCTTTCTTTAAATGTCCTGTCAAATGGTCAGTCCTAGATGAAAGGAAGAGATAAGACATATTACTAACGAAGTTACTGTCTAGTGTACGGTAAACCAGTATTAAATCACCTCATAGGATAACGAAACTAGGTATAGGCGACTCAGTTTGTCGTTATAAAATCGATTAGCGAGATCTTTTAACATTTCAGTCCCTTACCGTTGAACTTGTTCTAACATATCCGTTTCATACCTGAAATAATGAATATCTGCTTGAATCCCACATTCAAAATGCAGCTGCACAAACGTCAGGTATACTACCCCAAATATTTCTCCATCTAAGTAATAAAACGACTTACGAATATGTCAAATGGCTTTTAATTTTGGCAGCGGCAGCCCTACAACTACTGGTGGTTCTAAGGTTATATTGAATAATATGATCCCCAGATATTTATAAATCAGTCAGTTATAGCGTAGAACTTCGTACGTGAGTACGTAGCTTCATGTTGCCATACCACATTAGCACAGATAAGCAGCTGTCAGTTCAAGTCCAATAGCATTTAAGATAGTAGTAATAGAGAGTATTAAGGTTCGCAGATATTATTCAAGAAGTATAATTCAAAGAACTAAATTTAGCAAGAGAAAGACAAAGGTGATGGTTAATTCAGAAGATTAGAATGTCAAAGAACACAAAAAACGGATTCACAAGAGCAACTCAGTAAAGTCGTTCAAGGTCTCGAATCACCGCGGACCCCAACCAGGTGGTCTACTTGTCAGTGACTTCATGGAATTGTGCCATGTCTTGGTTTGGCCACCCCCAGCTTTCTTCCAACTTACTCCTACACCACAGAACATAGCTCGTCGAAGCAGTCGGTGTTTAGGCATACGTAACACACATCCCAACCACCTCAACTGATGAAGTTTCAATACTTCATCTATTGATTTGCCATCTTTACCTAGAACTCGTTTCCTAACGGCAGCATTGCTTACTCGGCTGTCCCAGGATATACGAGCAATACTTAGAAAGTCTGGCCATGTTTCACACCCATATAGTAGGACAGAGCGAACTGCTGCGCAGTAGACTCGTTCTTTGGTTGGCAAACGGGCATCTTGTCTACGCCATGGGCGACGCATTTTTTTATCTTCATGAGTCATCCTAACCATTTGTATGCATCACTAAGGTTTTTCTAAGATTTAATTCCAAAGCCACTTGTACAGTCATTCAACCAATGAATGTGGGACTTTCTGTAGTAGAGCAGATAACTTTGTTAAAGTTAGTAAATCATTTATAAAACGTATGAACAGAAGTGGGCCAAGCGTTTTACCTTGGTGAACTCCACTTTCTATTGATTTCTATTTTGATAAGGTCCTGTTCACCCTTGCCACTTGTCATCTATCACTGAGAAAGTCACTTATCCAGCTTCTAATCTAATTTTAGGCCTTACACCATGCTTAATAGGGAACACTTTGATGAAATGTTTTGATAGAGCTCTAAAATTCGCGACATCATCTTTCGCCATTACAATCGATGTTTTTCACCAGAAATGTCCTTAACCAGTGCTTCGCTGATTTAGCCTCCTTGTATGCAAGAACAACATTTTCGAACTATCTTCACAGTCCTTAATCAATTGATTTCATTCAGAAGCCTGTTATTACTTATCAACGCTTTCCATGCGTCCCGAGAATTACAATAAATGGATATTTACTGTTCAGAGACTGTAGAGACGAAAAATTTACCGATTCCTTTTTCTACGCTTAAGGAGTTTCCTGAGGTTCGCAGTTATATATAGAAGGCAGTTATTAGGTCTGTGTAGTGGTTAGAATATAAAAAAACAGGGATGTAACTGAGATAAATATACTTTTAATTATAGACCATGTCAATTCAATTAATGGGCTAATATTTGCTAGCTAGTCTACTGTTGGAACATACTCGTGTATGGGTCGATAACCTAGCCACTAAAGCATTGAATAATATGTCTATAACTTTTTGAAATGCCTTTTGCCATCTTATTCGCTGCGCTTTCAATGTAAAACTTCCAAAGGCTTTCGAATGCTCATCAGTTTAATGTGGAGATGTAACTTTATTCCCTCTCTGGGTATCAGTGTTTTTGAGACTGAACTGTTGTGTACCATCATAATTGAATTATTTATATTTTTTACCACTCCATTTTACTTCTGTGTAAAATAACGAGTGAGTTCGTCAAACTACTTCATTTTTAGTCAGTCGTTACCAATTTAAATCTCCAGCTATAGATTACAATGGGTTATTTATTATATAGTATTAACAACATAAATTATGATATACAACTTCTACCATCCACTTTTAGCAGGCGTATTTGTACTTCAGAAAGTTGTTTTTCAAGTATTTTTTGTGCATATGTTTGTGTGTCACTTCGTTTGTCTATAGTACTTCTACTTTTCATCCTTTTGGCTTTATGAACTGAACCCATCTGTAAACGTTTGTAGGTGGCATCAGTACGTTTTAGTGGTAGATACATATTTTAAGTAGATCAGTTTTAACAAAAATGGTGTCTTTCTATAAAGTTTTTTAAGTTCTATTGCATTGTCACTTCTCCGGAAAATATTATGTTTACTTTATAGATGTTTGCATCATGCTCTATTCGAATTGATGTTCGAATGCCCATTGGGTAGTATACTGATTACGTAATAGATATAAGATTTATAATACCATTCAATCATTACTACAATGAACTTACCTTAAATGAGCCGAATCAGTTGTGTTCTAAACGTGAGTAGTCGCAGTCATGTGAGGTATATTGAACTTAGTTTTGGGGTCGTTAGATCGGAAGGTGAATCAGGTCGTTGGAATCATTAATTGTCTATTTGATCATCCAAGAGCTACAAGTTTGGTAGCTTGGGGATGTCAATGGTTTCCGGTTCAAAAATCTCAGGCTAAAACCTGAAGATAAGTGCACTGAAACAAACTTTCTCAGTTGCTTAGATTCAGTTTGGTAATAAATACCTTTTCATTTCCTGTCTATCAAAATTTATCACACAGTTCTCTCGAGAAGTTAGAAAGCCTTTATGGTTTTGTGCGAAATGTGAAAGGTTCGTTCCATTTATAGTCTAATATTCAGTCCTTGCATCAGAAAGCTTACCCAAACAAACATGTTACAAAGCCAATCAGATTTAGAAAATAAAACACTAGTCTCACAGTGCTCATCTGTTTGTTCGCTGATTTCAAGTGCCAACATCTTTAGCCATCGTACATCAAAACGCCATATATTTTCATACAAAGAAATATGTCCGGGTCAACATCAAGTTTTCGTTTCATTAAAATTGAGCAGGATTTTAGTCATATTTATTGATCATTCATCGGTGTAGATCACATTCTTGTATAACAACCACCAAATTTTAGACATTCGTTTTTGTGTCTTAATGTGGTGATAAACAAACATTTTAGTCTCTTGCAAAACTTGCAATAATCAGATGGTTGTTCTGTTTTCTGGTAGTCAAATATTTTTTTGTCTCAAATAACAGTACATTCAATCGAAATTTAGTACTAAGTCAATATCCAACAAGCAATATATAATCGGTTGTAAAATATGTAGGAGCTATTGTTTATCTGGTTGATACTTACATATTCCATTAGGTTATGTCATAACCATTTGACAAAACTAATTCTGTTTAATATTCAGCTTATGATGGAAACATCAAGTAAGATATTCCCGAGTCGGTACAAAATCTGTAAAGTAATTGTTTTCCTTTGTTTGGGTGGCCAAAAAGTTACCAAGCCTGAAGTTCATATTGTCAGATAAATGTAATCTATGAATTATTGTAATCAGTTATTCTAAACCTTCTTTAGATCCTCTAAATCAATTGATCAATATTCTGTGGATTCGCATAGGCACAAGTTAACTAAATCATGGAGTTTCAGAGACAGTTTATTCGGTTTGAGGCGTAGTCGAGCGTCTATTTCGGATGCACATGAATGCCAGTATATTGCCCCAAAGTTGTACCAATTGGAGGATCAATTTCATCATCCAGCTTCAAAATGTGATGTTTGGCGCTCTCTTTGCCCTCAAGAGTTACCTAATGCAGCAGTTTATCCTATAACACCGGTTTGCAGTTTGTCTGATGAAGTCTTTGCTTCTGCTACAGGTCCAAAGAAAGGCCTGCTAGCTGTGAAAAAGTGGCGCGAGGTAAAGGCTAGCCACAATGGCTGTAAGTGTTTGTAGTTATTTGTTCCCATAGTTATTGAAACTATTTATGCAATATAAACGATTTGTTTTTCACTATGATCCACCAAGTTTTAAATTCGATTTCAAACACACTTGTATTTATTCTAGTATCCGTTTTGTGTTTGTTACAATTTGTTGACGTCAAAATAAACAAAGAGAAAAAATTACATCGAACAAAAATTTCAACTTAACATCCAGATTACAACAATATGATTTATAAAAGAAGTTACCAATGATTTCACATAAATTAAAAAACAGAGAGTATATTATGAAAAAGAAGTATCTTTAAGAATTTCACGTTTTTTCTAGTTCTACATTTAAATAGCTTGTCAGCCAGTTTGTGACTAAGCTCATCCGGTTAATTGAGTAAAAGATAGGTTCATTTGAAAAGTTTTATCATACGCGTTTATCACTATGAAAATAAACCTAAAATGACAAATAAGAATTAACATCCTGCTCTTACGCTACATGCAGTTACTAGGAAAAATAAAATGAGAGTGGTAGAATAATGTATGCATAGGTACTTTTAAATTTGTCTGTGATACTAAACGACTCTTCAACCTGATTCCTAAAATACGAGTAGATTTGAGTGATTGGGAATAATTTCCTATATAATGTTTAAAAAGTAAGTAACCAATGACTGTTCATCCAAACAGTAGCGTTGAGATATTTATTTCATTTAGTTAATGCCATAACTGATCGGAAATAGTCAAATGGCCTATCACAATAAATGACTATATTTAACTGAATTCGCTTAATGAATTGTACATTATCAAAGTATTATCTTGAGAAAATAAAGTTTGCAAGCTGTAATGAGTTAAACGTAATCAGTTATTCGATTTTCTCTATCCATTTATTATTTATTAAATATTTCAGTGACAGATTGCTTATGCGTATTAGCTGTTATTTTTTGTCGTGATGCTCAAACAGCTGAAGAGGAACTTCTAATATGAGATTGGATCTAAGGTAATCAGTAGATTAGGTAACTAATCTATGATGATATTTCAACGATGAAACAATCACAGGCAAGCAAGAAGAGAGAATACTAGACTTTACTGCGAGATCTTTGTATTTCAAAATGAAATAAATAAAACTAGTAAACATCACTGTATGCACATTACTGACAATGGGGGGATAGGTCAATAATTTCAAAGCAGACTATTGAGTATTGAAGTCAGCTTCATTATAACGTTACAGTGAAACATATTCATACATATATGTTTGAAGTAGGTTGAAACTTAAATAGTTACTTTTAATATGTACGTAAATGATCCGCACGTTTAATATTATAAATAACAGCCAAAAAATTTAAGATTAATATAATTCAGGTATTAGCTAACAGTCAAGAACCTTTCTTAACACTATCCTGTAACACTGACTAATATTCATTTTTATAACCATACTTGAATATTCAGTGACAGTGTTAGTGCCACTAATAAGTACTCCATTTTTGATTTCTTACAGATTTTTGCAGTAATTGGAAGACAATAGAAAATCGAAAGGCACATGGAATATCGATATCTTTATATGAAAAAAACATGATTACTGGGAAAACAAATGGTATGTAAGCTTTTTCTGATGAGTGCATCCAAAAGATGCTGAATTTCATGCATAATAATACTTATCTGATAGGTCTTTGACATTTCCGCATGGGGTTAAGTTATGTATGAAACTCAAAACAAATTCCCAAAATACAATTTACAAACATCTTAGTATAAATAATTTTTATGTTCGGCGTCTTTTTAGCCAGGTTCTTTTTTGTGTAATGGGATGGCTAGTTTTATATCAAACGGTCTTCCTTTATTAGAGCTTGGAATCGAGTGTAACTATAGAAGGGCTCCTTTGCTATAATAGTCAAATAATTAGTCTCTTGTTAAATATTTAAAATCATGTCTTTTATTTTTACAATGGTGAATTACTAACCAACCTTTGGATCGAAAAGGAACCATGATAATGACACAATAAATTTATGCTTCATTACTTATGTGCAGACTGATTGGCCCATCAACTAGCGATATCCAACCAATTATAAAAATCCATCACAGGAATAAATCAACTGAGTACGATACTGTATGTAGAAAAAATATCTGTCTATGTTAAAACGCTTTATTTATTTATATCGAATACTGTTTTTACTATCACAAGACGTATAGTTATCATAAAACTATCATTCTTAGATTGTAATACATCTATAGCGATTTTCATCTACCCAGAAAATATTTTGTGTTCTAAGGGGGCATGCAGAGAGAGAGAGAGCTGGAAGAGAGAAAAACAGAAGAAAAGATGAGCCAACTATCCAACAAGCGTACATAATGGACTTTAATAAGAAAAGCAATAAAAAACGATGAGCATTAATATAGGATTGAGATTGAAATAGTCTGAAAATCGAAGTCAGAAGGAAATTGTGTGGGTTTTTATTACCCGATAAACGCCTCACTATAAATTCTCAGACACTATTTTTAAATGAAATCGTAGAAAAAGTTATAATTTCGATCCTCATTCTAATACTATGATAATTAACATAAAATAAAAGCAGTTCATTACCCACAACGTTATTGAACTATGATTATTGTGGTCTTGCAATTTTTTATTGAACACTGATAAAGAATATACATTATTGGTACACCCCAAAAACTTTCTCAAGTGTTTACTGTTCAATTATAGGTTATTAACACTAAGGTCAGATTGTCTCAAAACCCAAAACAATAGTTTACTTATCAGTTGATTATTTAGTTATAAGTAGCTACTTCAGGTCAAATAGATTTTCTGTTATACATTGTGTGTGTTGAAAATGGCCATTCTCAGTTTATTTACTTCAATATTTGTCAGTTTTTTCTCACAGTAGTTAATCGATACTCTTTGACCGTAAGTTGTTTTTTGATTGACTAATTAATTATCTAGCTATCTTCGGATAGTGATTGAGGCAACTTCCGTTTATTTCTAAATCTAGTATGATAAGGGAGTTTTTCTAATCAAAAGCTTTAGAAGGCTTGAATTAGATGTATCAAACAACTTAAATATCATGTTCACTGACAACTCTATAACTGACAATATCGATACAATTCTTTGATAAAAGCTTATCGATGCTCTTCCTGTGTGAGAAAATCAACATCCAGTGGTATTTTTGTCTGTCGAAATCAGTTGTATTTAAACGTTTTCTTCCAAAACTCAATTAAAAACCATTTTAATTCACTCTGGACAACCTGCTAAACAAGATTAATTTTCTGGAAATGTTACACTGTTAATTAACTTAAGTTCAACATAAAATGAAAGGGAGAATAGGTGAGAATATTGCGTTTGTTTTCAATAGTTTGATTCTATCCAAGTCATTACGTAATTAACTTTTAGCATTCTTGTATTATTTGATTTGAAAGCCTTTTGTTACATCTATGTCGAGTATCAGTGAGTTTAATTGATTATGTAATGAAGAGGTTAGATATTGACAACTTTTAAAATCGAGGAACGTAATCATATTTAGTAAGCTAAATCACTGTTTCACTATTTTTTTTTCTTTCTGGTACACCAATATGTTGGTTGTTTAACTTTAGAGTCCTAGACTGATTCTTGTTTATCATCATTAAGGGATTCATCAAGATGTCAACGCTTCTGTACATATGTATTTTCTTGTTCAGTACATATCCTACCAAGTCTAATTTTTTTTACTGAGAAAAACATCGATAAGCTCTCACTAAAATTTTAAGGACATTATCAGTTACGAAGATTTTTCTAAAAGGTGATGTTGATATTGAGTTTATAAATTTTTATAGTTCAGTGGTTGTTGAAGCAAAGGATGACTACTAAACAAAAGCTGAATAAATCAGCAATGAATGATAATTCTGAAAATCCATTTCAATTTAACCTGGATAAGTATGTAATAAATTTATCATCTGTTTAACATTTTGTATTTGAGAAAGAAGCTCTATCTCTCGAACTTAACTTTTCTGGGCCTCATGCCCAAAAATTTTGATTTCTCGATCGATGCTCAGTTCGAAAATCTCTTTGGTTAACTGAACCCTCTTGTTCCAACCACTCTAGAGATGCGAAATTTGCTGAAGGCGAAATTGGTTAATATAACTCGCCAATTCGACGGCTCTCAAATAAGACATGGGGATATCTCGACATCTAAACATTTTAATGCCTTAAAAATCCTCCTTAGTAGACTATATACTGTTATTCTCACACATGACAAGGGTTTTGGCGTAGTTGTTGTGTATAATTGTGACTATAAAGAGAAAATGTTATCTATTCTTAATGATGAAAGAAAGTTCTTGACGGATGCTTCACTAATAATGAGGTTAGGAAATCAGATTCCAGCGTTAACTCCAATCTAACGAAGGTCCTCAATATGAATATTATTAACAAGGAGGAATTCAGTATGCTAAAACCCACCGTTTCGAACTCTAGAATCAATATGGATTATCTAAAATTCATAAACCTAATAATCTATTACGACCAATGAACTAGCGAAATGATTAGCTAAATTGCTCAACTCAATCCGTATTAAAATGTCTGAGTTTTCTCTAAAAGATACGTTTGAACTAATTGATGTTTTTGATAGTGATATTATGTACTGTGTACTGAAAAAGTTCAATATACCAATATATAATATATAATATATGATATATATATATATATATATATATATATATATATATATATATACAATATACCACAAACACATTTGAAGACGATGCTAAACTCTTGATTTTAAATGGTTATCTACTGAAAATGTAAATATCAATTAATATAAAAGCCTCTCATCAAATTTTGCTGACAAGAAAAGTGTATATCTCTCTGCCATTCAGAAGTGAATCAGATACTTTGATTGTAAGACACATACTAAATGCCGCTATGGAGAAAACATATTACAAAGCTAGTTGTGAGTAATGGAGTTTAATTCTGTTCGGGTGTGAAGCAGTGCTCGTTGAATACAGTGGATAAGGTTTCGCAAGATCGTAGGTACTGGCTTCGATCCTCTTGAGTAGCGGGAGCATCGGATGCGCACTGCTGATGATGACTTTCGTACCCGGAGGAAATGGCCATCCAGTGCTTCGAGGTTTCTAATGCTTGTTTAACATTGATCGACTCATGATTTCTAAGGTAATTTTACAATCTCCACAACGCTTTAGTGTAAATTGGTTATAATTGAGATGCCTATGCCCACGATCCCACATAGGCCTTCACATTGCACTAGAGATTGAATCACATCCAGTCGCATTTATCAGTTTATCTGTTTGTGTGGACACACACATAGGGAGGAGTAATCAGATTGTGTAGTTAAGAGTTATAGAACATGTGCTTCAAAATCAGTTGATGTCAAATGACCCGATAAACGTGAGAATTATGTCTATCAATGGCCAAACCCAGTCGAAACGGGGCAAAGGACTGATGTCAAGTTAGCTTTTAAAACGTTGTATAAAAATAGTCAAGGACGAATTCTTGGGTTTATAGAAGCCTTGGCTATTCGTAAGTTCGAACTCCCCTTACTTACTTACTTACTTACTTACTTACGCCTGTTACCCCAAATCGAGCATAGGCCGCCCACCAGTTTTCGCCAACCAACTCTGTCCTGGGCTTCCCTCTGCAGTTCTGTCCAATGTTTGTTCATTCCTCCCATATCTTTCTCTATTTCTCGGCGTAATGTGTTCCTTGGCCTTCATCTTTTCCTTTTACCTTGAGGGTTCCATGTGAGGGCTTGTCTCGTGACGCAGTTACGTGCTTTTCGTAGTGTGTGTCCTATCCACTTCCATCGAATCTTCTTGATTTCCTCCTCCACTGCAATCCGGTTTGTTCTCTTCCACAGTTCGTTGTTGCTGATGGTGTCTGGCCAACGAATCCGAAGTATTTTGCGTAGAAAACTGTTAATAAACACGTGTATCTTCTGGATGATGGCTTTCGTAGTTCTCCATGTTTCCGCTGCATACAGTAGAACTGTCTTGACATTTGTATTGAGAATCCTGATTTTGGTTTTGGTTGAAAGTTGTTTGGAGTTCCAGATATTTTTCAATTGTAGAAATGCAGCCCTTGCTTTGCCAATCCGCGCCCTCACAGCTGCATCGGATCCACCTTGATTGTCGACGATGCTGCCCAGATATATAAAGGTGTTAACGTCTTCCAAGGCATCTCCATCAAGAGTGATTTGGTGGGTGCTTGTTGTGTTGCATCGAAGAATTTTGCTTTTTCCTTTACGTACGTTGAGACCTACTGCTGCAGAGGCTGCTGCTACACTGGTCGTCTTCTCTTGCATTTGTTGTTGAGTGTGCGATAGAAGATCCAGGCAATCTGCGAAGTCCAGATCGTCCAGCTGCGTCCTAGCTGTCCACTGAATACCGTGCTTCCCTTCAGATGTCGACGTCTTCATAATTCAGTCGATGACCAGGAGAAAGAGAAAGGGTGAGAGTAAGCAACCTGATCTCCTCAATCGTAGGTGCGCCAATATTAATTGGAAGGTCCGGGGATGCTGCTTCGATGTTGGGTGTGTTCAGTGGAGCTGGTCGATTCAGGAGTTCCTGAAAGTGCTCTACCCACCTATTTCGCTGTTCTTCAGTGTTGCTTGATTACTTTGCCTTCCTTGCTTTTCACCGGTCGTTCTGGTTTACGATAGTTTCCGGCCAGCTTCTTTGTTGTTTCGTACAATTGTCTCAAGTTCCCGTCTCTTGAAGCCTTTTCCGCCGTCATTGCTAGATCTTCTACATATTTTCGTTCGTCAGCGCTGATGCTCTTCTTCACTTCCCTGTTTGAATCTATGTATGCAGCTTGTGCCTGCCCCGTTTTCCAGTGCTTCTTTAGTTTCAGTTTCATTTTGGCGACCAGCAAGTGGTGATCTGATGCTATATCAGCTCCTCTCTTGGTACTCACATCCTCCATGGTCCTTCTGAACGTTTTGTTGATACAGATATGGTCAATTTGGTTTTGAGTAGTGTGGTCCGGTGAAATCCATGTGGCTTTGTGAATTCGTTTTGTGCAGGAATATTGTGCCACCGATGACCAGTTTGTTGAAGGCACATAGGTTTGCAAATCTCTCACCATTTTCGTTCCTTTCTCACAGTCCATGTCGTCCCATGATGTCTTCATATCCAGTGTTGTCCATTCCAACCTTGGCATTCAGGTCTCCCATAAAAATCGTCAAATCCTTTGGTGAGCATCTGTCGACGATTGACTGCAGCCTTTCGTAGAATTGATCTTTAACGTCGTCATTGTAGTCATTGGTAGGTGCATAACATTGGATGACGTTGATTGTAATTTGCTATTTCTTTGTTTTGAAGGATGCTTTAATGATCCTAGGTCCATGAGATTCCCATCCTATCAGTGCCTGTTGTGCATGTTTGGACAGCATCGGTGCAACTCCTTGTGTATGTGAAGCGTTTTCCTCTTCATGACCAGAGTATAACAGCAGTTCCCCTGAAGCAAGTCTCAGTTGTCCTACCTGTGTCCAATGCGTTTCACTGATGCCGAGCACCTCGAGGATGTATGTTTTCATTTCTGCCGCAACTTGAAATAGTCTTCCAGTCTCCCACAATGTACGAACGTTTCATGTACCTAAAAGAATGGTTGCTCTGGTTGTCAGAAGAGGCATCGGCCCTGTGATTTCCGAGAGAACTCGGCTTTGATCACGCGACGTCATAATTCTTCTTCCAACTCTTAGGGCAGAGTTAAAATGGTTTGAATTATTTTTTCTGGTTAGCGTTTTTTTGGCAAGTTAGATTTCGACGGAATGGGGCCGCCAACCCCAAATTCAACCCTCCTTCTTTACCTGGGCTTGAGACCGGCAGTAGACCAGAAGGTTCTACTGGCGGAGTTTTGAACCCCCCCTTACATGTACATAAACAACACAGAATTTACCATGGTAATCTTTAAGCCAGGATACTGTGAAAATTTTATATTCTTTCCATACTAATTTAATTTTTTTTCTCCTTTATTTGAGGTTATTACTACGTTAACTACGTCTTTTCATTGTTCTACTTAAATCCAGGGAACCTTAACTTTATTATTTTGATAATACTATTTACTAGCTTCTCACTAAAAACTGGGCCAACTAAACCATCTTACTTATTTTTTGTTACGTTTTCGAATCGTTTGTTATTATTATGAATATTCCATAATCTGCATTAATGTATTTTCAACGAACTGCCTTCATTTTCATATCAACCTAAGTAGAATTAGCATAATGTTATAGAAATACATAACATACATCGTGATTATTTTAAATGATAATTTGTTTTTATTTTATTGTGTTTTCGAAAATTTAACAAAGAATTACTTCAAACAATACCTACCGAAATACAATTTAATATTCTTTGTTAAATTGAGTTTTTTATCAAGCTATTTTATGGTTAAATAATGTCTAGTATACTTTAAGTCTAATAGACTAAATACTTCTGATAAACGACTAAGTGGTTTGTCAAACTATTAGTAAATAGAAATTTCTTTTTACATTAAATAGTATATTTCAAATTTAAATAAACTCATTCACCAGGTGCTAGTGTATAACTCATTCTGTAACTGTTAGGGTTATTAGTAATGCTTTTATCTGAAGTTTGTGCTGATAATGTTGTTCTGAAGAACAATGAAAGCTCCATAACCAAAATATTCAGCTCAGAGAACGAAACTCCATCATAAAATTCCTGTTTGATCGTTTTTCTTAATGACACTAGCATTTCCCATCCTTATCTTTGAAATGTAGTTGGCGATTCTTCCTAATCATATTCATAAGAAAGAAGGTTTTCTTGCTCTATGCTATATTACTCTATAAAGTACTCAAATTGCCTGACCGCGTCAATTTTCAAATGAACTTGCCAAACTTTGCAATATTTGTTAATAACTATGTTTTATATAACCTTGAATTCCAGGTGGTCCTATTGCTGATGCATTTGTTGTACGTGCTCGACATGATTCTGCTTATTTAGCTGTGGCCGATGGAGTGAATTGGGGCAATGAATCAATGAAAGCTGCTAGATCAGCGATTTCAGCTATTTACACCTATTTAGAATCTCATTTATATGGTTGCATGAAAAAGAAACACGTCATAAATGATACAAGAGTAAGAGTTTATGTTATTCATTAAATTGTTATGTTTAACAATCTTAGTATCATAAGTACAAAAGTATTTATTGAGATTAATCGTTCATCATTTCAAGTGTATACAATTTTTTTAAGGATATTGACGTATGTAATTTCAATTTAAAACGTAAACACAATTTTATATCGATAATACACTTCGAGAAATTTGTGTAACAAAGGAAATATAACTAAATGAAATACGTTTTCATAGGAAATCATGCGATCACTGTTTTATTTCACACTTTATAATTTGAACAGCTGAAGAAATTTTTATATGCTGTCCTATTGAATTGGTGATTGGTCATATTCAGTATCAGAATTGGTAACTGATACGTCGAGAATAAAACACAAAATGTTACCTTTCAATTAGATGTTACTAAAACAACAGAGAAATACTTCAAAATATAAGTTTTATGCTTCTTTTTACTGTCTTTAGTGTTTTTAAAACCGTTGAAAAAATTGAAGTCCTGAAGCAATTTTTTTTAAATTGAAAATGGCTTAATGATGAATAACTAAATACTTTAACTCACTTTCCATTAAGACTTGATAGTGTTCATAAGTCAGTTGTTATTAATTCTATAAATAAGATTGAGATATTCCAATAAAAAAGATTTGATGGGGTTTGGGTTGTCGACGCTGATGACTTCCATCTACTGAGTTTTATGTTCGAATTCGGTTATATCTAATTTGATTTTAAAAGCTGGTAGGTGTTACTGGTTTTAGATTATGGCTCACAGGTTAAATCAAATGAGGCTATACTTAATAGCCAAGTTGAATAAATTAGAATAATAAAGCCGAGAAAATAATTCAATCTATTTCTGAACAAAGAATACAAGCTATACGGTGAAACTTTAGTTTTCAGACAAATAAACCACATTTGTTTTTTGAACAAACTGGTCGAACATTTAGCTCTTTTACCATTTCTAGAAATATTTTGTAAACTAGTCAGATTTTCAATAGACCTCACGAGTAATGTGAAAGATCCCCAATGTGTCCATTAATACTGGAATGCAGGGACGTACAGCTGAAAAGTCCGAAGTAGTGTGAAACACCTGGATTCCATTGCTAGCCAAAATCCATATATTCTATTAAGCTTGTTACAAAATCGATATTTCATGACAGTCCGCACAAGAAGCACATATACCAACAAAGATTGATCTGAATTAAGTTTCGTCAGTCAGCTACAACGTAGAACTTGGTACATACGTACATCAGTTCAAGTTCTCATACCACACTAGCACAGAGAGTTGCAATTGTCAATTCAAATCTCATAGTGATAGAGGGTTATAATAGTTTTCGCGGTAATGGAAAAGATTAAAGATCGAAGATATGATCCGAAAAGTATTTCTGAGTTCAAAAAATTTAAAAAGAGAGAAAGGGTCGTCGGGGATTTTGAAAATTAAAGTTTGAAAGAAGACAAAGAATGGTTTCACCTGCGCCATCGCAAACGATATTCAGCCATATCATTCAGTCTGTAACCGCTGGTTACGATTGTTTCATAGATCTCAACCACGTAGTCTACACGTACTACAGTTTCAAATAGAAGTAGATTATTCAAATCCTTACTAACAATAATATAGATTTCATTTTTAATGTTTACTTGTTCTCTTCTCTATTATGAATAAATTACAGGATGCTGCTCAATTGTTATTTGAAGCATTTTCTTATGCTCAAGAAGAAATTGTTTCCATTACTACTGGTTTAACTACGCTTTGTGTTGCATTAATTTTACCGGTACTTAAAACTACAACCTATGAATCACAAATATTAACAAATGCACAACCATCAGTATATGGTCAAGGTCAATTTGCTGCTGTCATAGCAAGTGTTGGTGATTGTCAAGCATTTCTTTTAAGTAAATTTCATGGTATACGTGAAATAACTGGTTGGATAAGAACAACTGACTTATCCTCTGATGATTTATCAACTCAGTTGAATGAACAAAATAAATTAGAGAAAATATTCGAGCCATCTGTAAGAGATTTTCGCGATACCGGTGGTGCATTAGGTGCTGTATATAAAAATGGTAATCCAGAATTAAATAATCTTATATGTGCTGGTAAGTATTCACTAGTTATTTGTTTTTGTAATATTCAATTATCAAAATTTCATAATAATAATAATAGTAATCTTAACAATAAACATACAGAGGTAACTGATGAAGAATTATTCATCGAGGATTTACAAACTCATCCAATGATTTAACAGATTGTTATACTACTCAAAACCTAGTTAAATAGATAGATATTCATATTCGACGAAAAAAAACTCTAGAACATTTTCAAGTTTTTACCAATTTCATTATTCATTGTTTGTTTGTTTGTTTTATTTTTGTGTGTCATTATGTGATGTTGTTTATCAAACATTCCAACAACGTGCATAATTCTTGTATTCCCTTATTTATGAGTGATTTTACATGATAGCTTCACTTCAATCAGAAGTCTTGTATTTGTTATTGACCTGACATTGAAATGAACTGACAGTATTAAACAATCTAAAGAGAAGGTGATAGGACGTTCACTCAGTCTTATGTGTCCCATATTAACTGATTAAAACAGATGTATTTTAACAGTTGACATTGACTGTTATTATTATTATGAGAATTTAGTCAGTGTTTTTTAGTCTTTTTCAATGAATGCAGAGCATATGTTATTGTGTTAGTGTAAATCAGATCTACATTAGATTTAAATTTATTTTATATCGATCCACTAAAATGTTGTGTAGTAATTTATTTGTTTTATTCAGTTTTTCTATGGTCAGGTCTCTACTTTACCATTTTCTTTTTCTGCAAAAAATAATTATCAATCTCATTGATATTTTGATTTCATTTTCATTGAGAAAATGAAGTCCCCCTACAAGACTAAACAGAAAATCGATTACCATACTATACATCATATGTCTTTTCTTTATGACTAACTAATTCACAATTTGAATGCGTCATTTGATTGTTAATCATATCGGTTAAACATGAAGAAGATGATAGACCGAAATATCAGTGGGTGGTTGGTTTCAAACTAACATTTCTATTTTTTATCTGCTTATATATTATTAATCAATCTTTTAAATGAAAATGTTTATTTATTCTCTTTTGATGTGTTTATGTTTATGTTTAATTAGCAGTAATTATTAGAAAAACAAAACATTTTGATTACTAATTTATTTCCTTTTTAAAAATAATCACATGCTTTCCATTGATCATCCATATGTGACAATTATTTAGTGTGTTAAGAATAAAATTGGTTTTAAACACTTTACAGGAGAGTGACTTTTGGATATAAAATGACCACCATGTATGTATTATATGTTTTGATCATTCAATAAAAATGTAATGGTAGAAATTAAAAGTTGGTTAATGAGACTGTTAATTTTTTATTTATTGAAGTGTGTAGAATCAGTGTTCATTAAGTCCTCAGATTTTCTACCCAAACGTTTAGTAGTGGCCGCTATTGCTGTAGGTTTGGGAAAACTAAAAATGGATAAACTAAGTTATGAAATTAGTGCACAAAGACATCAACTGGTGGGCTGAACCGTGTCAATAGGAACACAATACGTGATTATGATTAGCGCCGTAGTAATAAATAATTTAAAATTAGACATACTAAGTTGTAGATCTATTGATTCTTTATCCCCCTCGGACTCGCGAGTTTGTTTCACATACTATTTTTTTGAATTTCATTCGTTCCTCCTTGATTATATTTTACTATTATCTCTATACTACTTTTAATTCAGCCTCTCTAGTTTTCATCTTGACGATATTCCGTTGCCCTACTGATTTAAAGTTTAACAAAAGCTATCGAAGATATATTAGTCCAAGATCTCATACATATTATAAAACGAACTTATTTGTACTTTTATTGCATAATATTGTCATTACGGGCTTGTGAAGATTGTTAAGTTACATATTTGAATGCATGAATCGATCAACGTTAGACCGCCATTAGAGAACCTTGAAGCACAGGACGGCCGCTTCGTCCTGATATGGGACTCATCAGCAGTGTGCATCCACGACTCCTGCACCCCACAGAATCCGAACCTAAGACCTTCGGTCCTGCGCGCGAACGCCTAACCTCTGGACCACTGGGCCGGTATCTAACGGCGTTATCGTCTAACTTCGATCAACTCACGGTCTACACCCGAACAGGTTGAACTTCACCGGTTGCGACTCCCCACTAGAACTCAGAGAAGATTCCCCACGGAGCTAGTCACTAGTGAGCACAGGTATTCGCATTACGAGGTTACGGTGGTCTAACATTGATCGATTCATGGATTTCAATGTGTAACATCGCAATTTTCACAACCACGGAATGCAATCTCTTCGATTGACTGAACAGACTGGTACCGTATAATTTCATAGGAAAACTCACCTACAGTTCACTTGTTAATTAAATAATTCATAGTCGAAAATACATATGATGAATGCATCATTTTCTGCATTAAAATGCAATTAAATTCAAGTCAAAATTCAGAAAGATTCATTGATTTTATAGATTTATTGATGTAGATGTTTGTTTAATTGTCGATTTCCTGAATTGACCTGAAACACTTCAACTAACTCAATTTTTTTTAATTATATCACATATGAAACTATACTCCATCATAGTACTCATTTTGTAGTTTTATAATTATATTACTGTTTTGACCACTTACCATAAGTATAACTTAATAGCTTGTATATGAATAAATACTTTTACATTATTTAACAATTCCTGTAATAGTCATACAGTGTCTATTGTAGGTTTACTATCTACCTAACTTATATCCAAAAACATAAATTACAATTATCATTTCATCGGAAGTGCAATAAATTCATAAATCATTATACTTCATTATATTTCCCTTTGTATTAATTGGATAGAATATAATTTACTGAACTTAGTATTCACACTTCATAAGTCTCAACATAAGTTCTTGTTGAAGAATTTACAACAGAATAATCAGACCACTCTAATGAAACCAAAAAAAATTCAGTTGTTATTATATTTGAATGGAGAAGAGTATGTACATGAAATAATAGAAGTTATGAACGATGTATTGGGGTTCTAAGTTATGGTTATCAGAATACAACTTTATGAGTATTTCAAAGAGCTTTTAAAGAAAAAACTCAACAGCATTTCAATTTGTAACGATTCCAAAATTAGAGCGTCATATCTGACATTCATGTATAGTCTCCCAGATGCTTCCGAAGATTAACAAACACCTTAAGGTTTAGAAAAATCTCGTTTTCATGCATCTTACATGCAAAGCAGATGAGATCTTAGTTAAAATGAATGAAAGAATTATGGTAGCTTTAAAAAATCTTCCATAGAGCTCAACCAGTTGCATTTTATTATAAAAAATTTGATTCCATCCCATAAAAATGGAATCAGTATCCGTATGAGATATCCCTCAATGGTGTTTATTAACTTACATTGACTTGTAGTAACCGGTACAAATGAAGGAACGAGAGAACATTTTTAAAATATTTTCTTCGAAACCAATTTATAAATGGAAGAATAGTATCCATGAGTTCTACCGCTAAACGCTTAATAAATAATGGAAATAAAATAGGCATCACAAAGATATTCAAATTAATTAACAAACAACCATAATCTCTTTTAGTCCATTTCGGAAAGACTGTTGCCATCAGCCCATTTCAACCCTTTTTTTTATGTAAGTGTGATAAACCTCTGTTACCTACATTGAAATAAGTACAATGGTATGGCATCATTTCATACAGACATTTATTAACTAACTGTCCATCCGACACGCTCATACATTATGCTAATTTTATTTCACCTATGTGCCATGATTACGTAATCACTCGGTTACTTACTAAATTATTTTATCGCCTAATTAGCATTTATGGCCACCGTTGTTTAAACATAGCTGTTCAATAATGTATTCGTGATTGACTATCATTTCATCTCTGTGCTAATGTGGTATGGCAACATGAACTGATGTACTTACGTACAAAGTTCTACGTTGCATCTGACTGACTGACTGACTGACTGATTGGTAGTAACAGTTAGCTTGATGTTGAAAATTTCCACTATTTGCTAACCTGCCGAAATCCATTTTCAACCTCTTGAATTTAATTTCAAATTTTCAACAAATCATGTAGTTTTTTTGATAGATTCAATCTGCATTTCTACTAATCAGAATATAGATCTGCGTTTCTCTCACAGTAGGAATTAGTATTTTTCTTCTTGATTAATTCAGAAATTTTCTCTCATTTGATTATTCACACAGATGCATTTTCTTCTACTCCTTTTACCTTTGCATAAACAATTAACTGGAAAATCTTACTTCATTAGCTTTTTACTAGTTAGTTTGACATTCACAATGAAAACTTCTTTTCTCCTATCCATATGATAAATAATGTTTGTGTTGTTCTCAACTATCGAGTTTTTATGTCAACACATACATATATACATATAACAAATAACACTCCTTATGGTTGACTTAGTATTTTTCTTTTTTCATTGTCCATATTGCAAATAGGCTTAGTCATTGTTTGACAGACAAAAACTGTGATTGTATTATGACCAGTGAAAAACCTGCTGTATCATGCATATACATATATATGCACTATAGTTTTTTTTAAATCGATAATGCAAAAGTGATTTGTATATATTTTATGCATTATTTGCATTTAGCCTAGTTTCAGTTTATTGCCTTTTTTCAAGCTAGTGTTAAAAATAGGCTTTTGTTTATATGACGTAGTCCTAATTTATAATTCACATCTACTAATTTTTATTTCACTGACATTCATCCTTTTAACCGAATGATAATTGAGGTTCTATTACTGCCTGTAAATTTTCTGATGTGAGTGTACGGTCAATGAAAAATATGACTGAATTCGAAAATGGGAATCAATAAATTACCACTTTATGGTCCAAACTTGTCACTCCTCCAGTCATATGTGTTGGAGATTCTAAAGCTAGAAAAAACAGCTTCTCAGTACCCCTTGACTTTCAATGATTCAACAGATGATATTGATCGAAGAAGAAAACAATCTTGAAATCTTAAATAATCATCTCCAAATGTCATCAAATTAAATAATTGAATACTAAATCTATTGTAAAAGTGTTTTCCAAAATACTCTGATCGTGTCATACATTCGGATCTGACACTTCTCTTCAGTACTAACTTTTGGGCGACAGACACTGTCGCTTAGTGAATTGTGTCCACCACAGTAGTATAATACTTCTTAGCGGTACTAATCCACAACCCCCACGACCTCCGAATCTTGTGATGGGCGTTGACTTTGAAACCGCATTAGGCTTAAATATAGTCAGTGGAATTTCTTCCTTTGTATTGATCGCCTAAATCTTCATAATGATGTTTGCGAATGCAGTTGATCAGTCTCGTTTGGCATACATGCATCTTAGGCAGATTGTCTTAATATTGAAATATTAGAAGCAGAGATAGATGATGGCTAGCATCGAAATCCGAAACACGCGTTTCGTCATATTTTGGACCCATTAGCTAGATGTACCAGCGTTTCAGAGTTGATTTTAACTGCGGAACTCGAACCCGTTATTGTCCTCTTCAAAGGACATCGCGTCATTGAGTCCAGCTGGCCTGAGGCTTGTGTGATGACGTGAAGTTTAATTCGTTTGTATTGGTTATCCGCATCTTCCCATCGATGCTTACGACTGAGCTCGAGTCGCGGAATGAACATCAACTGTGGGATGCAGATACATCCAGCTGACGAATTTCAAATAAGACTAAATATGCATCCTAGATTCCATCACTAGTCATCATCTATCTCTGCTTACATCCCAGTTTCTGTTTAAAAAAAGTACAATAATCTTTTCTTGATAAAAATAACAATGATTTTACAATAACTCGACATTTTGGCAATAAGGTATAACTGTCATACAGTTGAGTTTTGCAAAGTTTTCAGTTCTTTTTCTTATCCTATTCGAAACAGTCTATCCCTTTTATAAATTTTAATAGAGCAGTGAGATGAATTACGTCTTATCCTTATTGGGTGAAGTCTTTCCTATACAACAGAAACATGATTAATCTCATATAAGTTGATTCCTTTAAAATAAGTGAACAAACAACGTGCGACAAAGATAAAATGAATTCATCATTCTATTTCAAAACTAACGGTTTATATAATTTAAAAAAGTGTGATATACTCTTATCAATGCATATCTCATTCTGTCATATATTTTAAAAGTGAAATTTCAGCTTGTATTTTAGAAATAATGATAATTAGTTTTGTAACTGTATGAGCTGTTTAAGAATGAACTACCTGAAAGTAATGTGTTATTTTAATCTCTTTTTTTCAAATATTTATTCCTACTCTCAAATAACATTTCATTTTTTAATTGATCAATTTTTTTTTCATTCCAGTAACACTTTGTGATCCTGGTGATATAGTTCTACTTGGATCCGATGGACTAGTTGATAATTTTGATCCAGTTATTACACGACTTGCTGTTCCTGAATCACCACATTTAGATTTTGTTGATGAAGATGATGAGCATAAAGAACAACATGGAGATGAAGAGGAAACTTCTTCATCTAATGATGATTTAATGATTCACGATTTAAATAACAAGAACAATAATAATAATAATCATACTAATAATTCTATCAACAGTACTTCCTCATTATCTTCAGATTCTTTAAAGTGTAATTTCAATAAATCATCCACTTCACCATTATGTCGTTCATCTAAATCATGGTTACATAATTCCTCTCTAACACCACCACCTCGAGTAAGTATTTGGCCACAACCACCACCGCCTCCTCCATCAAGTGATCCTTCTGTTACACATGTTAATACTACTAACACTACTAATACTACTACTAACAGTAATAATAATCATAATAATAATAACAGTAACAATGAAACTGAAACAATTCATGCACATCAAATTAATTTCACTAATCAACTTGAATTAAACTGGTATGAACGTAGAAGATATGCAACGAAAGAATTAGAACGTGTATGGCATGAATTAGATTTCAATGCAGAGATAGCTAACAATAATAATAATAATAATAATTCTAATAATAAAGGTACAATGAGTTCAAGAGATTTATGCGAAGCTCTAATTAATTATGCATATAGAATAACAACAAAACGACGTGAATGGTTAGAAAATCCAGATTATGCACATTTATTGAAACAAAATCAAAATGGAGTTCAAAACAATAACGATAATAATAATAATAATCATGAAAATGGTATTCGTAATAATAATAATATCAACACTGATTTTGCGAATACTTATTCCACTGATTCACAAAGAAAATGGTTTAATGATATGCTGAAACGTATGCCTGGTAAATTAGATCATGCCACTGTAGTTGCCTATGAAGTTGGTGTTTATCATGGTAATGAAAATGAAGTGTATGAAGAGACAGCGCATCGATTTCTAACACCACAGAATCCGCATCCTTCAATTGCTACACATTCAGAGCAATAATAATAAATTTAGACAACAAAAAAAAAACATTAAAATCTTATACTTTGTACATGCAATAAATAACCTCAGATATGAGATTACTCCCAATAACATTGATTTCATTATTTATTTGTCTATTTATTGAATTTTTGTTGATAGTTTTACAATTTCTTTTATTTATGTATAGGTATTTATATTTTCCATGTTGTTATTTATATTCATATCATCAAATAGATTATTATTATTCTGTTGAAAAGTGATATTATTTGATTAATTTATGAAAGTATTATCATTAATCTTTTATTGACATTGATAATTTATTTCACACTATATGAGATACAATTCCAAATAAACATATACATATACATATTTACCTTTCATTGAATGTTTCAATCTCAATATGAATCAATATTCTGGCTACAACTAAACCTTATATAAACAATTTGCCTTTTTCTTTTTCTGAAAAGAAGAAAAATTTTTTTTATTTAAATTAAGCATCTTATGTTACTTGTTTATGTTATTTATGTACAGTGCATTGTAAGCTTTTATTCTTAATATTTTAATGGATGAGGAGTTTATTTATTTGTTCTAGAATAATACTTTCAAATGTAGGCTTATTTTTCATCTTGAACATTTGATCACTACTATATTTGTGCTCGTTCAATACATTCTATATATATATATATATATATATATATATATATATATATATATATATATATATATATATATATATATATATATATCTTAGTTTTTGATTTTGAAATAAGGATGACTAAAAAGGAAATAGGAGTTCAGTTAAATCAAACACTGTAAAACTGATAGAAAAACTTTAAAAGCAACTTTGACTGGCATAATATAATGCTAAGTGTTCTGTTACGATTGTTCAGGTATAAATCAGTTTTTGTGTAAGAATATATTTAAGGAAAGCTTATTTGCACCTTCGATACACCTTCGATAAGTGAAACAAACAGTTTAAAAAATAGTAGTATATGCAGTAGACAAGCCAATAGGATTTCATGAATTTGGTTCTTTCAATCAATAATGCTACATTCTAAACTAGTCGAAAATTGACAAATGTGATAGGAAGTGTTGGTTACAAATTAATTTCTTGGTAAATAATATTCTAAATTTCGAATCTTCTAATTCTTGAGGAACCTAAAAGTTTTAAGTAAGAGGAAACAAAATCACTTCTACGGACAACATTTTTTTGATTACACTAACCAGAATAGAAATCAGAAAAAATGTAGCACGTCAGCCAAACAACATATTGAAATAATATTCAAACTTATTACGAATGCAACTCCAAACTCTCATCACAGTGAAAACTTTCTCTCATATGAGTTACTCTCAAAGAATCTACAAAAAACTAAACGGTAATTCATGGTAGCCTACGTTAAGTTAATAACAGATAAGCGAAGAGGATCATAGCCGAAAAATCGAGTTATTTATGTCAACTTAATCATTCGTATTTTGAAATGTAACATATAACTCCTCAGCGTAAGAGACAAGTTTATTTCAAATTACGGTTACATGTATCGTATTTTTTAAATATACTAATGTTTGGTTATCCTGATTATTACCTAGCCATTCGGTAGTAAACACGTTATTTAGTTTTTTGCGTTGTTTGAGTTTCTTCTATGAAACTAAAACCATCTGATTCAGTGTTGTATGGCTAGGTTTATCCAACAGAAATTTACGTATTTGGATTTCAAGTTAATTGGCATTCATCCCCAAAGCGTTTATAAACCCGCTAAGGCAGCAGAATTATTTAGCTATTTCTATCCTGATCTTGATGTTGAAGGAAAATCACTCACTTATCTAAGCAATTCAGGAAATTATTTGTCAACATTTCCTGGTTAAATGTCTAGTAGTATAGTCTTTGTAGTAATATGGTGTCTGTTTCAAAATTTTGATTACCATGCTTCATCGATAGATTTTATAAAGGTATTATAGGTGATAACATAATTCATGATAAAGTTTGCTGAGTATGCCTGTACTTATAATCAAAACAGTAACAAAATGCGAAGCAATAGTTATCCCTAAATCGAAATTCCTAACATAAATGGCGAAAGGTCACATCTACTGTGTTTTGTCTTTACATTTTAAAGTAAGAAGGATTGAAATAGACATTTCAAATAGTCTAAAACATGATCAAGTTAAAATCACGAGTAGTAAATTCTTAACACTTAAAAGATGAATCATCAAGACAGAAAGTTCACTGATTCCATTTCATCTCGTGCTGACTTCAGCTTCAGCCAGTAGGAGAGCACAAGTGGGATTGAAAAAAGAGTCCAATGCTGTATGGAAGAGCATGTAAATGATAATTTACAAAGCTTAGACCTTAATAAAAATATATGGCTTGTCTGATTTGATAAATGATTTCTTAATAAAAAAGGTACAGTTTCCCATTTTCTGTTAAAGTGCATTTAATTAGACAATCTACTCAATTGCAATTAGTATGAAGAGTAGAAGAGCCTAGAATTTACCAAAAGAAGTAAGTGTCTGGAGAGCAAAATACATGGAGCGATCGGAACGGATTGATGATCAGAAGAAGAAGACAATAGGAGACCTGCTTGTATTATGAATGGATGTCTGAAGATTGTGCGCATACTTTATAAATAAACTATCTTCTCTAGATACATATTGCTTCTGGTCTTGAATTATGCATAAGCTACAATGAGATAGTTGAAATATTGAGACTAATAATCAGAATAAGTGTGTGTAACATATAGATTATAAGAAATAATAGTTTAATTCCGAGACAGACAAAGTGTTTAGTGGAAAAATACTTAATGTGTAGAATGAAGTAAATGTGATGAGAAATATTAAAATGGAATGATTGCTAATTAACTTCAGTTCGAACAGGAAACCTCTCGCAGTCATTATCAATTGTATTTATCTAAATTCTTCAATTCTTTTAATTTCATCATATCATATCTGAACTACGACATGGTTGGATGTTGTACATAGACTATGTCTATCAAATATTAAAAAAACATTAGTTGAAAAATTTAGATTTTATGTATAAGAAGAGTTTATTGCCAGTTGAACTTCCCGATACAAACTATCCGGAAAGTAATCTGTCACAGATGACAAGTATTAAACATATTAAAGAGTATCATTATTCTTAGGTGTTTCACATTTTCGTACCTATTTGATTTATCTGTGTTACTCCCTGACATTTAGTGAAAACTTATCAGTAGTTAGTTAAGAACAATCATTATTTAATTTGTCATAATTACACTCATTAGAAAACAAAATAGATCATTTGTCAGTTAAGTTGTGACTTCTACACTAAGAAATTAACGTTAATTCATTTTTATTAGATTCTATATTTTGTTTTAAGTAATACAATGAGGTTTGTTAAAATTTATAGATCGCATTAGCTGACTATAGAAATAAAATGATCCTTTGAAGTGAGTACAAATATCCCTCATCAAACCATATTGAGCTACATTGAGTAATATTATGGAGTTCAGATTTTATACTGATTATGGTTCGATAGGTCATTCCATCGCATATTTTTGTATTTTACCTAACCGAGTGTAAATCGAATATTTCAAGTTGACTATGCTGTAAACTTTATCTATTAAGCCTGTATAATTATCAAATTAAGTACCTAATTTGTATCAATTTGTCATCGAAACCACATTGACTAAATTGTTATACTCATCCGTGTAAAGCGAAACATGATATAATTTGCTTTTGTATAGTGATTATGTCCCAACACTGTGTAAAACAAAACAGAACATACTAATGACAATCCTTAACAGTGAACAGATTTGAGAAATCATTAATCAATTCTTTAAAATGTCACTTCAAGTCGCATATTACTGATGGAAAGTTATTGTACTTTTAGTTGAATTTTTTCTCTTATATGTAATGAACGATGAAAAGATTGCTATTATGAATAAACTAAAATACTTATTTAGCCATTGTCCAATGTTCAACATGAATGTCTCTTTTTTTTTCTAGCTTGTGTAATTTTAAAACTTTAGACATTATTATTTTTCTTTTCTCTTTAAAAAACAAAATCATTTACATTAATGTCTCTTCGAAAATAAAGACAATTTTAGGAGGAAAATTTTCATTTCAACATTTTGATTTATTGGTACTTTTTTGTTGTTGTTATTATTGTTATTTTTTTACATGATAATCTATGAAAACGTTGAACATTGTTGAGTTAAAAGTGAATTGCAAAAGTTAAAATGTCGAATCAACTTACTTAAGCAGTCAGGATGTAATCGGAATGAAAACAATGTTTTTTTCAAAAATAATAAAAATAATGGCCTGTTTAATAAATAAATAGAAGTAAAGATTATGTGCAAAAACAACTGACAAAGTAAGAAGGATGTTAGGAATCGTTTATTAAATCCCTTATTTTACTATGAGTTTCTCGCACTGACTTAAAAATGTTGGAACAACTAAAGACCAGAGTGTACAGAGCAGATATTTCGTCTCTGAAAAGATCACTGAGGGCTTTCACATCCAGTGGCTGGTACGGTAAACTGTTCATTGTATTCTTCCAACAAAACTGTCCAAAACTATGTATCACGGAATTGTTCTGTAACAAATCTACTAAGTTAGCCCTTTCCAAGTATTTGCATAGGAACAACCACGAACTGACACCATGACCAGTAAATAGGTAATCCCTAATTTAGGGTTTTCAAAGCGATATGTTGAAAAACGCTACACAATGTTTTGGTTACAAAACTCATCAACTCATTTCCATTTTTTATCGAGGTATAAAACATATGACTTTGATTTATTAGATATTAAATTAACGTTATTAGTTTATTAGTAGTTATGTTTTAGACACTAAAGATTTCCTACAACAATATACTCGCTCAATGAAGTTGCCTAACTTTATTGTTATCTTGTGAAATGATTTGAATTAATTTCATTGTGAATCATTCATTGAAATCCTGTGAGAATATGTGTCAATAGGCGTTTCTTTTCTATTTTAAATTGATTTATGCAATTACACCATTTTGGGTCTCTAAGTGACGTCAATTTGAAAATTAATTTCTCTCATACTGCAATATTTCAGAAAATTTATTCCAAAAATTTGCTTACTTCATACTCAAGCATATTTTCATTTGATTTGGTTTTATCTATTGAAACTAAGAGAATCTAAACTCCTAAAGTTGGATATCTGATTTATCGATATCATTTCAAAATACAAATATCGAATTTCGATAATATGAAACCATGATATACGAGTTTACAGAAGTTTACAGTCATTTAACTCTATCTGCCAGAATGACTCATTCGCTAACTTTAAATTTCGTGGAGATTATCATAGATAAATTAAAACAATTATTGACCCTGTAATAGTCGTCCCTCATCTTAATTGCAGTTTATAAAAAGAATTAATAAAAGGCGAAAGTTTTCAATAGCACAATGTTTACTCAAATTACCAAACTCAAATATACCTTTGAGAAAAACTTTATTTAAAAGTATTCACATTTACTTCAAACTTGAAACCGGAATACTCCTTTTAGTTTACATATTGTGACCCTGGTAAGTAATTGAACAGCTCCATACTTGATAATTAAATATTCAGTGTCTCTTTTGTTGCAAATAACAAGTTCCACTGGAAATCAATGATGAAAACATCAAAATAAGTAGTCTAGATAAAAATCAATAATTAAGGTCAGTCATTTATAGGACGAAATCAT